GTAGATATGCTTGCATCAGGAAAATTGCCCTCTAAATTTTTTTAGTGTACTTCAGAACTTTATTGGAAACTTCAACCACAGCAAAAAAAAAAAGGCACCAGTTTGATTTCATAGATGTCAATGAACATTTTTCTGTGAACCAAGGAATTCAGCAAAATACAATCCTAAGACAGCTTTCCACAGGGGATGGGGAGCAATAGCTAAAGGCTAAAGTTGTTCTAAATAGCTAAAGGTGTTCTGCATCCCCAAATTTGTTAACAAATGAAGGCTAAGTGAGTGCTAGCTTCTTCTGCTTACTTCCTTCCAGCTCTCCCAAGAGTCCCTGCATATGTAGAAGTTAATTTGGTTTCCAAGATGTGGAAAGCTGTTCACTCCTTCCTGAAGAAAGGCATGGATTGCATGTGTAAAGCTGTTCTCTATGTGCAAGATGTGTCAAAGGAAAACCTACTCAGAAGTGACAGTGATCAGAATGCAGCCTATTAACCCTCACACTAATGGTGCTAGTAAGAAAGTCCCTCCCTCACATAAAATCCTGGTTTTGTCTTTGTTCAAATTTAAATGTACAATCAGGAGGCCAAGCTCTGCGCTGAAATAAATGAGAATACCTGCTTAAAAAGAATTTTCAAAGTTGTTTACAGTAGGACTTTTCCTAATTTTTATTTGCTTTCTTGTTGGATACACTGGATGATAAATATCCCATGCATGCAAGGAATTTCTCAAAAATGAGGCAAATATGAATGAAATAATGCTAATATTGAATTATAAAGGGAAAAAATGCTAAGCAACTAAAGCAGGGTGTGATATCACTCAAAATTGCTATTTTTGAAGTCTCAAAATGGGTTCTTGGCCTAGGAAAAAGTTTCTTTCAGTTCACTCACACCGTAAATAAAATATTCCAGCCTAGAAAGGAACAAACATTAAAAAGGCGGTTTCTTGCTCAGAATAAAAGTTGTTCAGAGAGTACATATAAAACTTACATGGGAATCACAGTGGACCACTGAACTGCAAGGGAAAAATATTCAGAGTTGATGAAGTTTCTGAAAACAGGAGAGAAAATGTTATTGCTTCTTTTTGAAAAAAAAATATAGAAGAGGAAAAAAAGAAGTTGCAGATAGATATCTTTTCACAAGCTCATGTGGTAAAAAGAGGAGCAATGAAGCTAACAAAAGTCACTGACTTATTTAATAAGAGCTTGTCCTAGGATATTAATCTGGGAGGGAGAATTTGCATTCTGCTAAGCACCTTGAAGAAGCTCTATAAAACTTTGAGCTGTCTGGATGTTAGCTATACCCCTGTGCTTAGCATTTCTTCCAGTGTAGGTCAGGACTACCATTTCTTGGATCACTCTTCTGAAGTGCTATAAATTTTCCAATGTACTATAGCAAAAGCCTTTGAAATCTCAATTTTAGACCATTCTGGCATCATAAGCTTCCAGTCCCTGTCTTGTGTTCATGTTGACTGCCATTGTCTCAAAAATCTTCTTGCCACCCTTTCCAAAACAGTATATTCCAAGCAGTTTCTGAAGGAAATCCTCAAGACTTAACACATGAGATAACCATCTCAAATTTTTCCAATCAGTCTCAAATATTACACAGTCAAAATTACCAAGGCCTCACTTTCCCACCTGCAATGTGGACATAACAGATGTGTACTGAAAAGATAAATAAATTATAATAGTAACATAACTCAGATGTGATGGCATAAGTATCACAGCACAGCCTGTGAGAAAGATTGATTAAAGAGACATTCAAATTAACTATACTGTTGTAGTCAGTTGAGTAGCAAGATTCCTTCCACTGGAACAGTGACCAGCCAGTCAATATTCCATCGATATCCTTTAAGCTTAGAGAGACTGGGTTTGACAGCCAGGGAAGCTGATCTATCCAACCAGCCCTGTTCTGCCCCCCCTCTCTCCAAAGGAATACATCATGTATTTTCTTTAAAATAATTCTCTTGAAATAAATTCCACCTGGATCACATCTTGAAGAGCACAAGATGTAGCAGAAGACAAAAACAACCTGCATGAAAAGAAAGAGTTTAGGCCTGGGGCATGTCAGATGGGGGGACTTGTACTAAAGGCTGTACAGTGGAAATTCGATGAACAGACACAAAGTGACATCTCCAGGCAGCTTCCCACATTGAACCAAGCCCCTCTTCACATTTCTAAACATAAACACATGTGTTGGCTGCCCTAAGAGTGTCTAGGATGCAGAGGAGTGATGGAAATTTTAGCTACAGTTTGCCCTAAGAGCACAGCTGAATCATGTATTAAAATAGCCTTTTTTCCATACATATGCTTATTAATCAAATGAAAGGTTTGGTGGTTTGGGGACTTTTTTTCCTTTTGTTTCTTTCCTTTTCAAGAGGATAGAAGCTGTTTTTCTATTTCATCCCTGCTGCTGTAGCAACCTTGTGAGTTCTGCTCCAACTCTTTCTGCTGGCCAATACCAATTTAATTTGTAATGAAAACATTGCAACTCAGACTACACTACCTACTAGCACATCGATTATTTTTCACCAAACACTTACAAGGAAATCAAAATCCCATCTCTTTCTCTGTTTTTCGAGCTAGTTCTTGATTGGTGGGGTTTTTTCCCCTATGTTCATCTTTTATTTCTGTTTATAAATAAAGTTTAAGTGCAGGCCAGGACATCCATAAGAATTGTACAGCTTCACCAAAACTTTTTATGTAGTAATATTGGCATATTCTTATGTATATATCTCGGTAAGATTCTACTGATGTACATACACTTAATACTTCATATATACAGGCTCCCATTTAGGGAAAATGTATGAACCATACCAATATAAATCTCTACAAAACTAAGAGAAGTTACGTAGTGAATGGTGAGAGATGCTGAAGGAAAGGTCTGGATTCCAGGAACTAGCTAACAGGGAAAATATATGCATGCTTACTGAGATGACCCCACCAAATTAGATAAAAAGAGATAAAAAGGAAGAGTGGCAATGGCTGGCAACAGACTGGAGGCACAAAGGAATACACTTAATGTTTGTGCATTCTCTGCAGCTGTGGACTAATCAGGAAAAAGCTCTTATGCTGAACAAACTATGCAAACCACTCAAGGCTGTGCAATTAAAGCCTGGTATTCACAGCTCAGTTCATTTAATGAAGGACTGAAAGTATTAATATTGCTGAATATTTGAGTGCAGGCACAGGAATGAGGTGGTCAGCATCGATTTGCTTGAGTTATCTTGCTTGAAAGTGAAATGGTAGCTCACAAAATAACAACTGGAAGCGAGGCTGCTCTAATGACCAATAGTGAATGTGCAGGGACAGTCTATAACATACCTGGTGGCCTGCACCCTTTAGGAGGAACAGAGGGGTCTTGAGGATCTATCAGATTTAGAGATTTGGAAAAACATTGTAATTCTAGAGGATGGACCTAAGGGATAAAAAAAAGCAACTAAAACCAAACCGATTATCTTGTTATGATGCTGTACTTGCTAGATTAACTCACTCTCAGTGATGAATTGCCCCTTCAAATACCCAATTATAGTATTACATATAATCAATAAGGAGAGGGTGGGGTGAGTGTAATGCACAAGAAGTGTTGGGATTGATATGGTTTTTGTTTGTTTGCTTTAAGGTTTAGACCGTTCCACTTGTTTGAAGAACTGCCAGTTTTTCTTGTAATGAAAATTAGTGGCAATTAAGAAAAGTGCTAAATTGGTTCTAGTTCTCATTTTGTTTGTGGGTTTTTTTAATTTGCTTATTTGGGGGTTTGTGTTTGGGTTTTTTTTCTATTTTTGTTTTTCTGTTGTTCTTGGAAACTTAGCCTCATATCAAATAGCCTCACTTGGTCAAGAAAATTTGCTGTTGAGAAAATAATTTCTGTATGGTAATGGTTTCCTAAACATATCCCCAATCTCGCATTCCCATGACAAATTTTCTTAGCTTACAAATGGTAGCGAGAATCTAGGAAATGGGACCAAATGTTCTCACATCTCCACCAGCTTTGACTGTCATGTTCATAATACCTTAACCTACATGTAGATTTCAGATTCTCTTAAGACTTTAATCCTTCCTATATCTGGAAGAGATGCTGTGGGTGCCTCAGCCCTGCAAGTGGTCGAGGCCAAGTTTGATGGAGCTCTGAGCAACCTGGTCTAGTGAAAGTTGTCCCTGCACATAGCAGTGGGATTGGAACTAGATGATCTTGAAGGTCCCTTCCAACCCAGGACTTTCTATGATTCCACCCCCTCTGCTGTCAGCTGCATCTGAAAAATCTGTATTCTCTGAATTCTAGGTCCTCAGAGCTTGGAGAGACAGAAAGTTCCTCGAAAGCTACAATGAGCAACACTCATCCCTATCATTTGTCCCTCATATGATTTATTACACTACTTCCTCTACAGCCATAATTTCCTTTGCTTGGAATTTGAACAACTGAGCTGGCACAGATGGTTGTTACGAAAAGGTCGATGTCCAGGATCAAGTGGGTACCAGGTTCAGAAATCTGACCGTGAAATCCATCCCTGGATGACCCCAGACCCATGTGTGCTACCACACACAGGGAGTCCACCAGGGTTGAGTTCTGCTTGACTACCTGAAGGTAAATTTAGGTGAGACAAAATTAGACAATCACAAAATCAAGAATTACAGAACAGGTCACGCAGGGAAGGTCCACAGTGGGTCATCTGGTCCAACCTCCCTGCTCAAGCAGGGTCACGCCAGAGCACAGTGCACAGGATTGTATCCCGAGGGCTCTTGATTATCTTTTGAGGGAGACTCCACATCCCTCTGGGCAACCTGTTCCAGTGCACGGTCACTGCAATGTGAAAAAGCTCTTCCTCATGTTCAGGTGAAACTTTCTGTGCGTCCACTCCCCTCACTGCCTCTTGTCCTTTTTCTCGGCACCACGGAGAAGAGCCTGATCTTCTTGGGACCCCTCCCTAGATATTTATACACACCCTCTCAGTCGTCGCTTCTTGAGGCTAAACAGCCCAGCTCCCTCAAACTTTCGTCGTAAGAGCAATGCTCCAATCCCTCAAGGAGGATGGAGACCTCGCCGTCCCGACAGAGGCAGCTCGAAGCAAGATCTGGCTGCGGGTCACCCCAGGAGGGGGCCGGGGCAAGGCTGACCCCCCGAGCCACACTCTGCACGCCACTGCCGGTCCCTCTGCGGCCCGGCCGGGGTAGGACAGGACAGGACCGACCGAGCCGGGACAGGACAAGCCGAGCGGGAGCTCCCGGCCCCGCGGCTCGGCCCGGCGCGGCTCCGGCGCGGCAGAGGGCGCTGCGCGGGCGGGCGCGGGCCTGGGCGCGCCGCTCCCGGCGGCGGCGCAGTTCCCGTTCCTGTGGCTGTTCCCGTTCCCCTCGGGCAGGGCCGGGCGGCGGCCGCGTCTCGTCCTCGCTGCCCCCTCCTCCCCGTGCCTCGCAGTGGTCGGCGCCGGTGGCGGGGAGGGCGGGGAGGGAGCGCGGCGCCGCCGCATGCATCGCTGATGGAGCCGGGCTCGGGGCTGCCGCAGCGCAGGGCGGGGGGCGGCGGGCTGGACCTCGGGGCGGGCTCGGCGGCGGGGTCGCCGGCGCTCTCGGGGGGGCAGTCCCGCCGCAGGAAGCAGCCGCCGCGCCCGGCCGACTTCAAGCTGCAGGTGATCATCATCGGGTCGCGGGGGGTGGGCAAGACCAGCCTTATGGAGCGATTCACCGACGACACCTTCTGCGAGGCCTGCAAGTCCACCGTGGGTAAGGGAGCGCGTCCCGTCCCGTCCCGTCCCGGGGGAGGGGGCGCTCCTCCCCCCGCTGCTCCGGGGCCCGGCCGTGGGAACGCGGGGCTCGGTGCGGCGGCCGCCCTTCCCCGGCCCCTGTCCCGCCTTTTCCCGAGCGTGGGCCCGCTCCCCGCCTGCCTGGCATTCCCTCCCAGACCTTGCCCCGCTCCGGGGCGCGTCGTGGTCCCTGTCCGCTTCCTGCCCGGGGCGGCCGGGTTGGGGGTCCCCGGGTGGGTTCCTCGGCCGCGGGAGGCTCAGGGGCATGGTTGGTGCCAGACTTCAGCAGCTCTTCGTGGAAAGATCGTGGATGTCCTGGTTACCTTTGCGAGTTCTGAGAAGCTGCTGGGCTCTCCTGTTTCAGCCTTGCTAACGGCAAACAGTTTAACGAAAAAATTAGGCATAGTTGGCAAAGCAGGTTTTTGTGCTTAAGTCTTAGAGGTTGCGTGAAAGGAGACAGAAGTATTTCAGGAGCTGGAAAGTTGCAGTGTGTATTTTGTGTACTCTTCCAATGTATTATTCAAGTACTCTTCCAGACCGCAGTCAGATGAACTCCAGATGGCTGCTATGGCTTCGTGAAGAGCCCCCCAGTGATGTTAGATCCGAGGTTGATGTTTTTTGTCTTGAGACACTGCGTGTTTGGCTCTTTATGCAGCTAACTAGAGAGCAAGCTCCTAGTTCTGTAGTGTACTGCCTTATTCATGATTTAGTCATCTCTGCGAGTCTCAGAGGTAATTTAATGCCTGCTGTCTTTTAATACACAAGTGTGTAAAGGGAGGAAAACAAGGTAGTTATTCTGCGTTGTTATTAGAGTCCTATCCTTGGGGTTGAACTCTTGAGTATTGCAGCAAGGTGGTTGTTAAAGTCTGTGTCACTGGAAAATATGTATGCTTAGCTTAATTGTAGCTTGGAATGTGAGGGAATTTAGGCATCTGATGAAAAGTGATTGTATTGCTTTTTAGACGCTGAGTTATTAATATCCAAAATTATCCTTCTGTGAACTAAATGATGCACAGTTACTCATAGTTTTGTTTCAATGTGTGTTTTACCAGTTATTTAATTCTTTCCTAAGCTAAGAATCCAGATCTGGTACTGCAGATTAGCACTGTTATGTTGATAAGTTTTTTTAGTTCGAAGTTGGCAACTTAACCTTGTAGAAGTTAGAAAGACAGTTTCAGAGGCATTAATACTCGAGGGATGTGTTGTGATGAAGAAATGTTGATGGCTTGTCTGGATGAACTGATTGAATTTATGGTACACCTAAAGTACAATTAATAGAGGAATGCATTCCGTATAAATTCTCCAGGTCTAGACATTGATGTTAACTCTCCTGCATCTAGTTTAGGTTGTTAGTTTAGGTTGACCCACATTAAAGGTTCCGTCAGGTCTGGGCTGGTCTCTCTAACTGGGGTTAGTTTCCTGCTGTGAATCTTGGGAAGTCAGGGGAGGTGGTCTAGACCCGGTCCAGACTTCCAGGCTGGTGCCTTTTCAACAAAACTGATTTCCTAAATAACTGAGACAGTGATTTAAGCAGAGAAGCTTCCTTGTTTTAGGGAAGAAACAGGAAATAAGTAGTGATATGCTGCTAGACAGAAGGTTACGTAATGTTTGTTGTACAAAATGTGCCAACATAAAGCAGCATAGGGAAATCAACTTGTGCCAAAATACATGTAGAAGGACTTGATAGTAATGGCATTCTTTCAAGGTCCTGAGACTAAACTTGAGAGCTGTTGAGATTCCCCCAGATCTTTTGACTGCTAAATGAAGGAGCTTTTCACAGCACATACTCTGATTTTTTTGCACTATAAAGTAAGAAAAAGTAACTTCTGCTGTTTACATTTCATATAGATTAAAAATAAACCACACTCCAAAACAATCTGAGTTCAGCCTCTAATACACAGTTGAAATCATAAAGCTCTTTCTTTGTCATCACTTAACTGCAGTGGTTTTCAAGAATTTGCAAGTGGAGAATGTGTTTTGAGACATCAGTGAAAATGCTGTAACTGATCAAGTTACATAAACTGAAGATACCTTGAGATTAAATTTGAAAAGGCCATGTAACCAACCAAAAAACTGCATTTTGTAGTATGTACCTTGTATTCGCAAAGCTGTATTTAAAACAGAATGCTGGAATACATTTTTACTTCCTTATCTTGGTATTAATGGTCTCAACCTTACTTTCATGCTTTTATACTAAAACCTGTGGATGTATAGGACCCAAAGAGCTACATTTAGCCCCTTAAGCTTTTGCATGAAAGTAGAGGCTACTCAGAGTACTCCCTCTGACAGTGGCAGAACCGCAAATGTCCAAAGACCTTTTCTGTCTTCTGCCCCTAAGTGCTGACAATAGTGCCAGGTTAATGAAAAGTGGATTATTTCTGCAGAAAGGAGTAGGTGTGGATTAAATTGAGAAATACACAGTATTTAAATGCTAATTTAAGAAGACTACATTGCCAGATTGGTAAAGAAAAATCTGTAATGAAAACACATCAACATGTCTTCAGTCTCTGCTCAGATACGGAACTTCTTTGAAAGTGTTCAAAAATAGCTTGGCAGATTTCAGCGCATTATTCATAACAGCACACAAAGTGCTGTTGATCTAAAATTCTTTTGATGTATTTATTTTGGGCATTATATTAGTTGCATGGAATATTGTGTCTCCTTAAATCTGGTATTTACATAGCACTGAGAATACCCAATATGCTCAAATATTTACTGATTTTTGAAAAAGGTAAAATTACTCTCTCCATGCCAGTGTTAAATCCACTGTTTTTCTGCAATGAGATAATAACTTGTTCTGGGGTAATATTAGCTTTGTCAACAAACATAAATCTACACTTCTGTTTTTTTAAGTAAAATTTGATCTTCATTTATTATTTGTTGCCTGCATTATTCACACAGGAACAGAATCCAAAGCTATCACTTGAAGGTTTTCCAGAATTGAGAATTTTAAAAAATATGCACCAAATATGGTGTGAAGAAGAATGATCTTTCCAAGGGTAGTGGATAAATGCTCATTGCCACATCTGTTAGAAGATTCAAGCATGGGAGAGAAGAAACAGTGTTTGCCTCTGCTTCTTCCACCCTGTTATCTCACCTCAACTAGTTCTTATCATGAAAGAAATACATCATAATTCAGATCTCCATAGTCGTGATGTAAAATTTATATATTAATATAAATATTTTTAAAGGGACTCTTTTTCATCAGAGTCCCTTTATTAAATATTCAACAGCCTCTGTACTCTTCCCAGCATCTGTCCAGCTGCTGCTCAGTCTCATGGTTCTAATCCACCAATTCTTAGTTCATTCCCAGTCTCCCTGCTGTTTTTCTTCCATGACAGAATTCCTGTACTCAGCAGTATTTCCTGTCGATCTAATTTTTCTGCAGACATTACACTTCTCTCTTGGTTTTTTTCTCTGAACCTGAGGTTCCTGCTCTCCCAAAGGTGAGGCCCTGCACTGACTCACCTCTTAGGATGCTGATTGTCCCAGTCCCTCAAATTAAGTTAGGTTCCTCAGCTTTTCTTTTACATGCTGGCTCGGTATGTGAAGTCTCTTGAGGCCTCGTCTTATCTTTCAGCTCTTTTCCACCAGGTCTAAAATCATCCCAGGAAAGAGGCCTTGCCCTTGATAACGCCAGTGCAGTTTATGTGCCTTGTGCATTGCTGGCTGGTTTAGCAGCTGTTCATAGGAAACCAAAGTATCACATGTAGTAAACACTAAAGCTTCCTTCTGTCCTTGTTTACAAGCAATAGTGGAGTTTGTAATGGGAAGGGTTGTTGTGGATCGAGATGGGAAATTAGTGACCAGTGATCTGTTCTGGGCCTGAGGGATCCAGATCAGTGGCATGTAAATGCATTGTGATGCAAGACTCCTTTGACTTTACAGAAATGCTCTTTGACCTTGTTTCACCTTCATGTGAAATGGTATGGAAGTCTGAAACTCCTGAGATTTACAGAGGTCCATAGCTTTTCCTTCCAAGTGGTATTTTTCTTATTATTTATTTTTTTAATACTGTCTGTGCAAAATTTCTAGTGTCCATCAAATAAACAATATCAATAGTGAAAACTTTAGCTTTGTCTTCTATCAGAATGTTCTTAAGTAAGGCAACTTCTATCTTTAGTATATAGACATTTATATATGGTATACAAATATATTTATATACACCTTTTTATGTGTATATATACATATGTTTGGGGTTTCTGTCACAATTCAAACCTGTCTTCATTCTCTTTGTCCTTAAAAAATGGGGGCTAACAACATAAATGTTCAGTTTAATTCCCATAAGCTTGTCATACAACATAATGATTTTTTTACTTAAAAGTATCAGACTACTCACTTCTAAAGTATCTGTCATTTTTCAGAACTGCCCACTAAGTTACTCCTCAGTCTTTTTAGTTATCTAATCTGTATTCTCACAGACACTCTAAATGTAGTATGGGGCTTACTAATAATTTGATTGGTTTTTTCAGGAAATCAAAAATATCTCTTAAAAATAAATTTAGTAGTTTGATGTAATCTGAGATGAAGAACAACCTATAAAAATTTTTCAGAAAATCATCATCATCCTGAGTCAACTAAAATAATATTCCTTTCTTTGATGCACTTGTGTGTGCCTGTGAGCTTTCTGACAAGTATAATTCGTTTTAATTTTTCTTCAAACATTTTTCCCCCCCTTCAGTAAGATGTCACTGAAAGCTTACTTGGTGTGGGGAGAGGGGAGAAAGAGTAGAAATAGATGTTTCTTAGTTTACCACATCATGACAAAGTAGCAGTAATATGTTCTTGCTTTAATCAAGAAATAGCTCTTAATGTGAGAAATTTATGCTGTTATATAAAAAAAGGAAGGAAGTTTTGATGAGGAATAAGTAATTCTGTGAGAATTGACTGTTCTTACTTTTGCATATCCAGGATGTTAATACATCTGGTTTTATGTACTGGCTTTTTCACTAGTGCAGTGTAGTGTAAATAAAGCATACC